GGGGGGGGGCTGCGAGGTGGGAGGAGGAAGGGCAAAAGGGGGTTTCGGGGCACGGGGTGATGCAAACCACCCCCCACGTGCTTCAACCTCCATCTCCCCAAAGGCCGAGGGGAGTTTGGGGTGCAAGCGGTACCCGCCAAGCACCCCGTGTCCGTGGGCTTTTCCATGGGGAAAAACAACGTGTGGGGCACCCGAAAAGCAACGGCCGGTCCAACGGGATGGCGAACCCCTGGGAACATCCCTCCCTCCTTCCAGCTTGATGTCCTCACGCTCCCCGAGGGCAGGTTACCCTCTGGCACCCACGGGTGGGGTGGGACGGGGTGACACGGGGCTGTCCCGGCACGGCGGGAGGCAGGTGAGGGTGTCCGACTGGAAACCCGCTGCTTCTGGGAAAGGAGCTGCTGTTATGCTAAAGGCTAAAAATAGGCTTTTGCCATCTCCGCTGGCTTTTAACTTGGGAGGAAAAGCCAAAGGGGTGGGTTAGGGGTGAGCGTCCCCATGCTCACCCCGGCGTCGTGGTCCTCCAGCTGCACCAGTGCTGACGCGCCGAAGGGATTTAATTGGGATGGGTGGGAAAAGCACCGCGGAAATGAGCCGGCGGACAGGGATGGGTCTTGCTTGCTGCAAAATGGGGCTCCCCACGGTACGAGCGCCCCAGCTTGCGATGGGTCCCCCAGCCGGGGTGATGGCGGTGGAGATCCCGAACCCACAGGAGCAGTTAACCACCCCAGTTTGGGGCTGGGGTTACTGGGAGCGGTGGGGTGGGAGAAACCAGTCCTACTGGAACTTTTGGGATGGAAACAGGACCGGGGAGGCGGAGGGGGACACCCAGCCTGGGAGAGAGGAGGTGACCCCTCTGTCCCCATCCCTTTGCCGGAGGGTCAGGGCAGGGGATTCCCTCGGCCAAAGCTGGGGGCTGTGGCTCCCCCGGGGGGGCGGGGGGACAGACCGGGATTTGGCAGGGCGAGGATTTGGCACCGGTTCCCGGGAAGCCTCCCGGGGCTCTCGCCTCCTCCCCGGCGGCGGAGGGAC